CAACTTCTACCTGATAAGTTTGAGTATTCTCATTACCTGTTTGCTCGATAATGAACAGATAGAATAGGGAGAATTTACATGTTAATCACTTTTGGGAGTTGAAGGGTCATGTGACACCAGTACAACTACGTACCAAAAACAATGTTATGTAACCCCGTTAGAAACGATAGAACTACCACAAGGTTTGGAATCGTCGTTTCAGTTACGAAAAAAACTCGACAAAGAAGCTTTAAAAGACGCACATCGGGCACTATTTCAAGGACTATAATTGAAAAAAATTACGTAAATTCATTAAGCTAACACTAAACATGAAGCCGAGGAGACTGATTTCAAATTTCTCAGTCAAATGTAACCTGTGCATTTTTTGCCCAATAACAGCTAACATGGCGTCCAACGCTGCTGGTTGAGAGACACCATACTGATAAATTGTTAAAAAAACACCAGGACGTATTCCCATATATCGAGGCCTTCATGAGATTGATGGTAGCCCGTCATTACGCCATAGACGATCACTTAGAAAATTGAACTAAATACATCTTATAAATAAATAACTTTGCAAATATCTCCTGGTTTAGAGAAACAACATTAACAAGTGATATTATTTTCTTGGTTTGAAAGTAAAATGTGTTACCGTAAATCCTTGAATCAGCGCCTTCCCTCGCGCGTTTCCCTTAAAGTGCCCTTTCCTCGCGCGCGTTTTATTAAGCACCCCTTCCATCTACCAAAAATTTTAAATAAGCGCCCCCTCCCCCTTTCCCGTTCTAAAGCAAAATTGACCGGGCTCGCCGAAATAGTTAAACACGTGATCGCAGCATAAGATTTCTACCTGAATTCTGTTCTTGTATAGTTCTGGAACACGATTAGTTTGGAAAAATAAAAGTACCAACTGTGCCGTTATTGAAATTTTATGATTTTCTTTGTGTATTTAAACACAACTGATGTTGTATTACAAGGAACGAGAATATCTGGCCACGGTTTGGGATCACTTAAACTTTCCCCCATCCCGTCAAATGCCCTTCTTTGAACAAGCCTCCCACCCCACTTTTTATCCTAAATCTAAGAAGGGCGCGCAAGGGGCTAACTCGAGGATTTACGGTCTATTGAATAACAATGAATTGTTACCACGGAGTATTTTTTAAGGGCTCTATGATGAGCTTCTCTTAGTATTTAATCAGAACGCCATCTTCTGGATGCGAGATTGGATAACGCCACCACGCATGCGCCCTGTTGTAGACATCACTTGAGCTTGCGCACTGGATGGAGTGAGGGTAGCAACTGTTGCTAAGAGTGACGCTGCTTGAGTGACAGCATGAGAGATCTTCCCATGATCCCCACTGTGCAGGGGCTGATACTTGATAAATTTCTGTTAAAAAATCAGTTATTTTTCATTAGCATAAAAAGCCACTGTGCCTTCGAGAATAAGTATGGTTAAGAGTTAATCTTATGATCTCTTGGTACAGTACAGATTTTTTGTTTCTTGCAGTGGCAGCCATTTGCACCAAAGTAAAAGTATAAATATTTTTTATACCGGAAAAACCTGAGCCTTTTCCAGGCGACATTTGCGGCAGAGCAAAAAAAAAAAAAAAGAAAATCGAGGGAGGTTAGGATCGAGTGGGAGAAAAGAGAGAGATCTGGGTCGAATGGAAAGAAGAACGGAGGTTTGGGTCGTGTTGAAAAAGGAGGGAGACTTAAGGAGACTTTGATTCGGTTGAATAAGGAGAGAGGTTTGGATCGGGTGAAAAAAAAAAAAAAACAGGGAAGTTTGGGTCGGGTAAAAAAGAAGGAGGGAAGCCTGGACCGGGTGGAAAAATGGAGGGAAGTCTTCGAGGCTTGGGTTGCTTCTTCACGCAACCCGACCCAAAGCTTCCTGCTCCTTTTTGTTCTGCAGCTGTTATCTCGTTCTGTTTTACCAATTAAACGTCACTGCAGGGCGGAAAAAAGTCATAATCGAAGCTTTTATCCACTCGGGCCTTTTCACAACCAGTAGATTTTCATCTCTTCATTAAGAAGTAAATCACTGTAGACCATAGGCGACAAAGTCAAAATGAATGGGGTCTATCTATATATACGTCTCGAGAAAAAAAAAGATTTCGTAAACTGGAGATTTCAAAAAGACTTACCATCACTAAACAAGTCTCTTGAGTCATAGGTCAGCGCTCCACTTGAAAGAAAGCATGTGCCATCCTCATTTTCATACGCTTGAATGCCATTTGACATTAAATAGCTCTCTCTGGAGACGGAAAGCAAATGGTTCTTCAGTGCTGCTTTCATGCCTCAATTTTTAACAACAGCAGCGATTTATGCAGTAAAACCATTGGTCTTAGATGAAAATAAAAGATGAATACGAACCTTTCTGTGTTACCTAAAAATCTGATCGAGTCCCTGAATCCTTTAGCAAACGGGTTACTGTAAATCTTGAGTCTCGTTATCTGCGAAATTAATGAATCTTTTTAATCAAAGGTCGCAACCTATCGTGAACTCAATATTCCTTCATGCGTTAAAACGCGCTCTGAATGATTGTACCAAGTTATCCGGACTACTCCTTTCTTTAGGCTTCAGGCAGAACACCTTCGACATTTATTGCTGATTCTAACAGTACGCAGAACGCTTGCCCCGTTTAATTTAAGCATAGCATAAACTCACAAACAGCTTCTCTCTTCTCTGAGTTAGTATACCATACGACAAAAAATTCTGGACCAAAAGACTCCCTTTTAATTTGTCTTAGAGACATAACAATTATTTCACACCATTTTTACTCGACTACCGAGCTTGCAATTTACCATCTTTCTTAATATAACATAGTTTTAAACGCCACTTACGAGGTGATTCTGATACGAAGTGACCGCCATGAATGTCGTTTCTGGAAACACGAAGGTCTGCGCTTCCGTCAAGTCTGTTTTGTGAACATTTTCACTTGCAGGATCCTTGACCAAGTGAATTCGTGGTTGATATTTGTGCATGGAGTTTAAAATGATCTAAAAGTAAAAAGACAACGCATCAGTGAAAACACACATTTTGTCCAACTTGCGAGCCTTTACAAAGCTCCTAAAAGCTGAACAAGTTCAGTCATAAAGCCACGCTTTGCTATCACAAACGCCTTAGTTCGAACTCTATAGAGGTAAATTACATTTCTGAAAAACAGCATAAGGTTGTGCAGTTTATGTGAACAAAATACGCCCTTATATGCGAAGTTTTCATACGAATTTCGTTCACTATCATTTCCAAATTGCGGGGGTTTTTAAATTTCGCCAGCAAACATCATCGTTCTTTGTGGTAAAGAAGAACTTCTTTTTCTGTTGTCTTTCTGTTTTTGAAGCTGCTTACATGGAACACACATGGAAATCATTTCCACCTTAATTAATTCTTTACATATATATTTTGGCGAAAATGCTGCATCGCCTAGCTTCTGATAGCCACTATCCAAAGCGGGAAAACGATTCACTCCAATTATTACATTCTAAAATCTATATTGCTTGCGTACCCATGAAGCACTAAATTTAATGGTTGAGAACTTAAAAACTGCAGTCCTTTCATGAATGAAGTCAGTTTTTGAAAGTTTGTATCTCTTTCTTCAATTATAAATAAGAAATATCTATTTCTAGAGCAGGTTGGGGGAATGAAGTTGATTTTGTATCGTGTTTCACCAGTTGCGGTTTTCTTCCTGTCACTCAAAAAATTGTCGCCAAAAGAAGACAGAATATAGAGTAAGTTTCCCATGAGGATTTATTTTATGGCCGCGAAACATCACCTCACGCAAAGTTCGAGAACTTTCCAAAGCAGCTGAATTTTTTGTTTAAAGCGTTCATCATAGGGAACTTGAGACTTGTTTGTGGTTCCTTGAGTACCTTAGGAGTATGTGGAAAAGGTTTTCAGTTTATAACGCAGAAGAACAGCGTAAAAATTGAAATCCCGCTCAACCGCCAAAGTCTTAGCAGAGCAATTTGAACTTTTCATTTTTCGGAAAGAGGCAAACTTATTACTCATCCGTGCTTTAAAATTTATGTAGAGGGGCAGAGATGTCTATAAAAGCCGGCATTTCAAGAGGCCTTTGCTAACAAAGAAAGCTGAAGCAAAATTAATAAATCATTGAAAGACGCTGTGATGCAAGATTCAAAGAACGTCGCACTGAAAGAGAACATATCTGCTTGAAAGAGAAGATATCTGCTAAAAAGAGAGTTTCCTGTTCTTCTATTTTGGTCTTGAATAAAATTGGGTTCAATTGAAATTTAAAGGGACGTGACGATTTCGCTAACAGGTGGAATTGTTTTGTTCAGTTTTGTATTGAAGCGCTACAAAGGCGGACTGTTCTACGGTATCACAGCTAGCTAATGGCATGTCATAAGTAACTAAAACATCAGATCAATTTACAGTCACAACGAACAACGGCAAGCGTAAACATGGCACAGAACCGAAACCAGATTGTGAGTAGTTGTGACGGGAGAGAAAAAGTCTTTAAGCATGGGGTAAGAAATTTCGGAAATGGTGGAAATTCCATCAAAAGAATCGTACATTATAAGCGCGTAAAAAAATTTTCCCTTCAGCGTGCAAAATGGCGCAAATTGTTCTCAATTTAAGATTCGCGAGGATATTTTATGCGCCAAATTTACATGATTGTCGTTATAGATGGCTACATATTTCTCTCTTAATCATTCATGTCTGAGAAAAAAGACAGTAAACCCGTGGCAACTTCTGATCGACAGTCAAGTTGAAAATGATAAACGAAGGGTATGAAGTGTTAAGAATGTGTTAAAAACCTGGAGGCCGTTTGCGCAAAAACAACTAGTCATGAAATAGGATTGATCTTAGTGAGACGGCTTTAAAGAAGCAAAACGCAGACAAGACACCTGTAAGGCATTTGAACCGGACACTTTGGGCTGTAGATCAATTCTAGATATTTGTGATAACGGACGGAGCTAGAAAATTGTCGAGCGCAATTTGCGTTAATGTTCTTTCGAACGTTAAATTATCATTTCTTACAAAAAAGAAAGCATATCTAATTGCGTAAAAAGCAAAGGTTGTTCTGATAATTAAAAAATAATTGCTACAAATGTAAACTACCTTTATGGTTTTTATAGGCACGACAGAAATAAAGCCAGGTAAGAGGGAGGCCGCCGGAAAATCTTATCCCCACGAAAGGGTAGACAATTCTTTATCAGATAAACCATTGACGATGGCCAAAAATAAGGAAGTCATACATCACTCTTATCGACTTGAAAGTCAGTAGATAATGCCTGGGCGTCTCACACTTACATTTCCTCGCTTGTCATCTCGGTTGTTCGTTAACTTGACTTTCTCGAATGAGAGAACTTGTCTTTCCAGCTGCTGCCCCGTGAACGGGGAGTCAGGGTGAACACACATTACTTTAGGGGGCGCTGCATCGGCTTCTCCTGCAACGAACCAGGCGGAGTCCGCATAAGAGTACCTGTGCCGCTTAGAGTCCAGAGGCATAATATCCAACAACACTGCATACTTAGCATCAGGTTCAAGATCCACGAAGGATACACGGACGGTCGGGAACATTCGCCTGTAAATTGAAAGAGACACGAAATTTCTTAGCTAATTAAAAGTTACAACTTTTCCTTAATTAAATGGTAGGGGAAAAAATGGCGTTTTTAAACTCTCTTTTGATTGCCGATTTTGATCAACTTTTATTTTCGGAAAATCGTCAACTGTCGTAGGTCTAACCCTGTGGTTTGTAAGAAAAAGGCTTCTTAAAGGTTTTTAAAATTAGTGTTTTTGATCTCCCGGAAGAAAACTGGGAAAATGATCTGTTTTTATCAGAATGGATGAGGTGCAATTACAGAGCTTGTCAAACAGCAGTCGCAGCGTCTCAGGTTAATGTCTTTATCACGTGACTTTTGCGTGCTGCTTTCCTATGGATTTCTACGACTTCTTAAGTGGATATGACTAGCAAAATAATGAAACTTTATACAAGCCATTTTTTTGAAAAAACAAAACAAAAACGTTAATGGTAACTCTCCATTTTTCTTAAGCTTGGGTAATAGAATAGGGATAAAAGTTTCCTTGGTTCCTTTTTGAACAGAATTTCAAGAACTTTTTGAACCTATGAGCACAACTATTAACATACAAATAAAACGCAGAGAGGAAGACCATCACTGTTAGAGAGTATCATTAGCAGGTGCTTGCCGCCAAAACAAATAGAAACAAAAAATCGGTTTAATTCTCACTGGTTCTTTTGCTTCAATTTAGCTTGTGCGTAAAGCTGAAAAAACGTGGGTAAATAAACTGAGGATCTGTCTACAAACGGCAAAAATGACCTCTTGTTCAGTTTTTCGAGTAGCCATTTTCTTGCAGCGTTACTCTAAAGAAAAAAACTTCAGACACCCTTGCCTAGATGCGGAAGAGTTTTTCTATAATGTGCCAAATTGTCTCAAAAACAATTGGAATCGCCGAGATCCTCTCTCTCTTTTTTTTTTTTTCTTAAGAAAGAAACATGAACTTATGACACTTCTAGCCAAGTTTTTTTTGATTACGGACAAACGACTTGTGAGTCATCTCAATCTAGTTGCGTAACAAAACTACTGACAGTGATCTTGCCTTCAAAGAGTCGTCTATATCTGCGAATCATTTACGCGAATGGCTTTCATTTTCAAAATATTTCCTTCCATCGCTAAGAGTACGCGACTTTCTGAGGTTTAGGCCACAATTCTTTTAATGAAAATATGAACCTGCATTTCCAGTCCTTTTAGCCACGCTAACTTGGATGGAAGCAAATTTTGCGGGCCTTTACGTTTGTAAAATGAAATAAATGACATCATCGGAAAAACTTGGGTCTGCGGGAAAAGCTGAACCGGACGAAACTTTTTTGGTCTTCCCGGATGCGCAAGCTTTCCATTTGTTGTTTCATTTTACTTTTTGCGCATAACCTGACAAAATTTTCGCCTTTTCAATTTCATAAAATCACAGAAAAATGGAAGTCCAGTTTTAATCTATAGTTCTATCAACGAAAACAATTTAGTTGAAGGATTGTTTTAGTTTCTTCGACGTGATCTTCCTGATGATCCAGTGGCTTCACCTTGCGGCTGATTCGAGTTCTGGATGAAACGCCCCAAGTTATTGCTGGAAACCGTTCATTGACAGTCAACGCTAAGGCATATGTGACGATAGTCGTCGGGGAAGTTCCTTTCTAAACTCATAACTGATGGGTGTTATCACACACAAAAGAAGTTTAAATGCTCCGTATTACAGTGGGCGATTGCGGTGGTGGGGAATTTAAGGGAAAAAATAGCCAATTCTTCGGGGTGATGTGGAAAGGAATTTAATTGAAATGAACTAGATAAAGTTCTGAGGCTAGCGGATGATAGGGCGATTTTTTTTTTACATAAAAGTACGGCAATTTTTCCAATAAAGAATGAATTCGAACTTCAAGTAACATCAGAGAAAGAACTACAAAATATAAAGCCGACAAAACTGAAGCAACTAAGAAATCCTTTTTCCATTCCCGTACACTCCCATTTCTCTAGTGTTTTTTCATATTTTCCTCTATCTTTTTTTAGAACTTTTGGAACTTCAAAACGTTATTCCTTTCGTCGCACAGGGATATAATTTCAAGTATCATATAATGGTGAGGTGGCAATTGTTGAAAATGTGAGAATTTGTTCTGATTAAGGAGTGTTGAGTAGCCTTGGCCATATATACTTTAAAAGCTTACATTTCAGCACTTCCTTCTCTTTTTGTTTTTTCAAAACAATAATTCCAGCAGATTAGCTTAGGGTGCATTAACAGTTCACATTGGATTTTCTTTCTTCTCTTCGTTCCGAACTTATTAGCCTGTTATTGTTTCGAAAATTAACCCCCGCAGCTTTTGATTAATTTGTTGATAGCGCCAAAAAAACAACACCACAAAGAATAGGAAAACCGTCTGTGCTACTGAACAGAGCGGCAAACCACAAAGGGCATAACCACAGTAACAATTCGTTGTTTGAAAACATGCTGTTAAAGAGTTTTAACGGATAAACCGCACAGAGGCCATTTTCCTGTCACACCGGTCAATTTGCGATATCTGGGATATCAGTAACATCTTGAGTCGGCCTATGGACGGGAAAACTGCTCGTTGGCTAACAAGACTAAACAACAACTTAAAAAAGAGCGAAGTAAAATGAAGGGTTTGAAAACCTTTCAAAATCTGTGAACTAATTTAAGGAAAACTGTGAAATATTTCATCGTATTCCTCTGATCTGTGGTAAGTAATTATCTTATCGCACGGACGTGCAATAAGCAAACTTGAACTGACCTTCCTGTCTTCGTGATTATCATTTCTGTACCTAGCCGATAGAAGCAGTTCCAAAGTTCCTTGCCTTCCAGTATGGCATTTGGTTTTAAAGTTTTAAGCTTCTTTCGTGGGACCGGTGAGTAGTGTTTTTCTCTTTCAGATAGCAGACTTTTCTCATCAGGCCTTGTCTCAAGTTCTTCTAAGAAACGCAAAATATATAAGCCGACTCAAAACGATTAAATCCTTAATACCTGTAGTCACTCTAGCGAAAGACACCTCTGATAACTTACCTTCATGGACGAGGGACGCGATCGAAAACGCTCTGGCATTGTTCGACAAGTTGCCTGCTCTCTGGCTGCTGGAATGTTTTAGCGACATTTTGCCGGCCGAATGTTCACGAGACAAGCGTAATGTTGTATACTTGTTTGAACCACGCATGCATAAGCTTATCAAGAACGTTGAGGCAATAAGTGAATTTTAGCTTCAGCAAACAATCAATTAAAACCTTTTAACACTGCGCCATGTCGTCGCCGACGACTAGCGAACTGTCCGATTGGTTCCACGTGACCGTGACACAGCGCAAATATTGTCAGGCGTCAATCATATTAGAAGCACGGGATTGAATAAAGTTCTGCGCCGTGTAATGCACGAAAGTTTGCGCTGGAAAGCGCTGTTCTGTTTGCAAAACTTTGTAACCAATATCTGACTCTTTCCAATCAATCGCAAGGAAATTTTCGTAGCCAAGCCGACTTAAGTCACCGCATTTCCCTAGAGTTCTTCACGCTCAATTATCACTTAGAAATTCTCCAATAAACTTGCTTGCACTTTTAAAAGTTTTTCACTTGTTCTTCGTTCAGAGTGACAGCTTTTCATGTTTTTTTCACATACCGTGCGCATTTGAAAATTAATTGAAAACAAAGGAGGTGACCGAAAAAATAATCTGAATGCAGGAAGAGGTTTATTCTGAAAAATTTGTCATGCCACTTGCTCTTTTGTGAGGAAGTGAGAAATGCTTGCAGTGATGATATCACTCAGGTGCAGAAAACAGCGAGTGAGACAATTCCGTTTCAGCCAAGAAAAATTTATCGCTCATTTCTTGGGGGAACTCTATCTACTCGCGTCAATTTTACATCTTTTCATCGGCAGTAAGTGAATGTCGAAGGACCTAAGGGAGTTCTTTTAGTGAACTTGGCTTTGACAGAAGTGCCTTAATGTTCAGAGATCGATGGCGCCAGTTGGTCAACTCCAATATTCGTCTTTCTACAATCAAATCATTGATGGTGATGAGATAATTAGTGTGATAAATGCGGCGGGTACCACTACTGCGAACCGAGAAAACTTGGGATATCTTTTCGCTTCTCTCACTTAATCAATAAGTCTTTGATTTTGTAAAAAATGGAGAAAAACCGAAATAAATCAGGGCATTCGTTGTTAAATTTGGAGTGAGAACGTGGAGCTTTCGTAAACCATTTGTGTGCACCAAGTGGTCCGAGTAAACCATTTAATTGCAAAACAAACCCTTTCAAAGCATGATAAACCATTTCAAGACAGCAGGGGTCATCGATTACAGCTCAGCATGATCAGTAGGAAGCAATGTGTAGGAAAGTAACTAGACACTTTAAAAGCGCAAGAACAAACTGATAACCGCCTAAAAATTTTGTGTCAGCATTGGATGCTAAACGTCGAGATGATCTAAGTGTTGCGCCGAAAACATTAACAACTCATCCATCCCTCAGCTTAATTATCAATTGCTCCGTTGAAGCTTTTAGCGAAAAATCCGCGAGAAAAAAAGCCACAGGAATTCGGTACCATTCGCTTCTGATAAAACGCCTACTCTGTAATACTATCGAGCCATCAAAAAACACGACCCTCCCACTTGAACTGATCACAAAACCTCTCTCTTGAAAAGTTATCTACTGTGCTCAAGTTATCGCGGTCATTATTTTATCACACCGAAAAACTAAAAACTGTAAAAGATTTGATTTCAATCAGATCTTTTGCAATATGTGTTTCACTCGAACTCTCAAGTCGTCTTTTACATTTCCTCTTAATTACCATTAATCGACATTTCCTGTAAAAACAATCTTGAGGATTTAGCGACAAAGAGGTATTTCCTGTTGTTTTGGTGGGTTGTTCTGTTTGTTGACGACAGCATTCTTTAAAAATGATTTGTGTTCTAATGACTACACATTTACGCCAACAAGCCCTTGGACTCCTCACGTAGCCATTCAAACATCTTCATGGGAAGTTTTCCCACGCCGTAATTAAAGAAAACAAAATTACAATTGATCACCTTGTGTGATGTTTACCGACACTGTTTGAGATAATTTTGTCATTGAACCTCAGCAACAACGCATAAGTGAGACATCGAGCATGTTTCATTCCTTTCGTTTTCAAGATCACATATCAATTCTCCTTACACTCTGCTATACATTTCTCTTTATTTTACCTCGAAGAATTTGGTGAAAAATCAAACAATGTCTACGTGGTGAAATTTTTCTTAGTTCTCGTCACCTTTCTGCAAGACGATGTATTGATAATTTAGGGAGAAATTACACATTGATCACCTATAGCTACAATAAAAAGTGATAATTGGGAAGAATCGGGCGTTAAACTGGCAGCGTCTCGACGAAGGAAATTTAACTTTTGATGAGCCTCGATGATGATGCAATCGAACAATGTAATTGGTAACGCCTAACGGCAGTCCACGTAGTTAGAAATGTCGTTGGCAGCTTCTGTGGGGCGAAAGAACTGCGGAATACGCCGGTGAAAATATTAGTGCTCGAGTTGTAACATGAATGAAGAATTCTGTAGGATAATTGAACATCTCCTATCCCGTTTCGGCTCTAGCCCGGCGATTCTTGATCCGTTTTGACAAATTCGTTACGTTAACTGCAAACATCGAGAGAAATGGCCGAAGCTGGTTGGTGAAACAGTCACCTGGCTAGCAACAAAAAGCCAAAGGCATGAAATATCCATTTTTTTTAAGAGCATTTGACAAAGTGCTTCACGCTTTTGAAGAAGAGAGACTAGGAGCAACTAAGCGATGATGATGACTTTCACGAACGTGATCTCTCGAGATCACGAGTGCTGCGTTACGAGAATCCGTGAAAGAGTTAATGGCCTTATTTTGACATTCTTTTCAATCAGAAGCTTTAACAAACTCATTTCACAAGTTCACCCAAGAATCTTGTGACATTGGTCTGTCGTTTTAGCTGGCAACCATATGGGACACGCCATACAAGTGTTTTGCTGGAGAGAAGTGGTTTGAATAGGTAATGATCAACCATCTGAGACACAAGCACAATGAAACGCTAAAAGACGCGAGTTGAAGAAAAATTATTTCGCTGCGTTTCCTCTGATCACCGTTTCTGGAGTGATAGAGACTGGCTTAGAAAACAAACAGCAAACAGACGCATCCGTTCTAAAATCAGTCGATTCAATCTTTTTACAGTATGAATTTTTAGCGCAAACCTCAGTTCGCGTAACAATTTCAAATTCCAAGTTATGATACACGATGTCTCTCCACTTAAGTTATAAACACAACAACTTTCTTTTTCATTTTATTTTCAGTCCAGTTTGTTATTTATAACAAACCGCTGCTTAAAAGATTTGGCTTAACAATGGATCGCGTGCAGATTAGTATCGCGCGCAATTTACAACATAATTAAAATTGAATGAGCGATGACAAGCAACAAAAAATACAAAAGAATTTTTCATCCTCAGAAAAAAAAAAAAAGAAAAAAGAAAAGATAGTAAAGACAAAGAGCCAAGACCTTAGATTAAAAAAATAAATCATGCAAGCTCTGTTCGAGATTAGATCAACCTTTAAATTACTAAAGAACGAAAATGTTCTATAGAAAAATCAACTTATCTGGAGTAGTAAATGTCGCCTTACATGTGACGGGCAATACAACTAATGGCAATAACTCAACTACACTCCCGAAATTTTATCCCAACAAACTTTAACTACAACTGTATATACTTGAAGTCAAACTCAAAGCAAGAAAAAGGTGACACTTTTAAGGATCCTGATTATCATTACAACACATATCAGAATAATGAATGTTCACAGAAAACGTGTGGCGGGGTTCATCAAAAAGACCAAAGAGGATCTCCTTCATCGTCGCCTTCAAGTCTAACAGAGACAATGGCCATTAAGTCCATAAAATATGAAAATAAAAGCTACTGACTGTCACCTTGGTAGGAATCTACGTAACGAGTAAAATCATTGAGTTTAAAGGCGCACGGTCGCTAAAAAAAATCTGTTATCGACTCCTGAATATTTACAGTTTTAAGTTACATCGCACTATAGTCACGGTTTTTTTGCCATCAAACCTTCACTTATGACAGTGGGCTAAAAGTGTTGAGTTCGCCCATTTGTGGAGTGGAAGAAATTTAGGTAAGAAGGAAAAGTCATTTTCAAATTCGCATGGAGATACTTCAAAAATTATTTTGACAAAGTAGGTTTTTTTCCCCTCTAAGTTTAGCGGAGTTTCAAAGCCCTGACCGTCTCCAGCAAGCTGGGATTTTTTATAAACTACAGTGTTGTTTTTATTCAGCGCGAAATTTGGGAACAAACCTGGATGCTTATCCGTAATTGATAAAAAATTTACCACGGGTAAAACGTACGCTTATGGAAAATAGGGGTGGATAATGCCTAGTAATACGACTCATTCAAGATCTTCCTGTTTACGTTTGGTGTGGATCTCTGCTACTTTAGCGCACATTAACCCATACAAATGGTCCTTGTGAAGTTTTCCGTATTGGCTAATCTTATTCTCACGGTAAAGTTATCCTTGCATAAAATACCGTGTTTATAAATGAAACATAAGTGTTAAAAACTTGTCCAAGAATGAATAATTCTGCGATTGAATGACATAATGAGATGGAACAAAGTGAACGAAAACATACTTCGAATATTTAATTACCTAGCGAAGTTTGTCGTCAATAGTTGTCATTGTTTATTTCGCTACAATGAAAACATTTTTTCATGTCTTTAAAAAGAAAAAAAGATAGACACCTTAAAAAACAGTGTTATCGCGTGGGAAAATGTTCCTCTGTTGAAAGCGGAACTGCGACCCAAAAATAGCTCTTACTTCATTAAAATCTTTCCGCCTTTACTAATTTCGAGGAAAGCCGCCACATCGGTCCCCCATTTCGTTAGACAATGAGGTTAAAAGTCTGCGCATGAGTAAACGTTAAGGAAGTCCAGGCTATGAGACCCAAGTTGCCTTGCACGAGTTACAGACACGGTCACGGTGTTTTAAAATATAAAGCTCAAAATTAAATGTTAAATCAACAGCGAGCGAAATCAAACAAGCTTTGCGTTCAAGTCTCAAGTTTTCCTTTTTCGATTGTTTTCGTTCAAAGCTATCTATGAACGTTTAAATTTGTTACGCGTATTTTCCGTGAAAGCTGCTGCTTCTTATGATTCCATTTATTATTTTGCGCGGGAAATTGGCGCACGGCCGGCAAAAAAATTGATCCCCTTACGCGTGCCCGGCATAGCAAGGCGAGTGAATACGACATGTTAAGAAGGAAAGCATTTCGCTTTTCTTGTCTCTTGCTGTATATTGCTTGCTCACCGTTTCAATCGTCCTCACTATGAACCTAATACAGGTGCAATGCACTTAAATTCTCAGACGCAAAATACAAGTTTCCTCCAAGGGTGTCAGACAAACTTGGCCCTCTCTCTCTCTCCCTCCCAATCTTCCCACCAAATGAGTCCAATTTGGGTTTTAAACCATTTTGAGGTGGAACAAAAGAAAGTATTATTCGACCAGTTACTTGTTGGCAACGACATGAGCTTATGAGAACATCAAACATTCAACGCATGATTTTTTTCTTTCAGAATTTTTTATTGGCGAGTGGAGCGTTTCGGCGAGAGAAAAGATTTCCATTATTCATTGTATGGATATAAAAACTACATATAAGCTTTAGCTACTATTATCAGAAAATAATTTTCTCATTTGAACACAAAAGTGATACAGAGGAAATCCCATGACATTGAAGTAGTCGCCATGTATAGACTTGACCAGTGTGCCACCAATTCCCTGAATACCATATTTAACTGATGTTAAGGAAAACAGTGAGATTTTCAAAGCACATGCACCGAGCAATTTTCGACAGTGTCGAAAGCATCCCAGTATAGCTTTGGTTTTTACTTCAATACGCTTTGTGATTGGTCAAGAAAAAACTCTCACCAACCTCTGTAAAAACTAAAGCCAATCGTAACTTAGTCACTCGCGCTTTCCCGTGCTGAAGGAATCTTGCCTGTTTTAACATTTATTTCTTATTGGCCGCGAAAATCAATGAAGAAAATAGTACAAATAAAACACGGAAAGTTTCAAATTTACTCTGATAGAAGAAAAATGGAGTGGCCTTAGTCCCAGAGGCAGGGCTTCTGGGTTGCAAGACTCAGAGCCTCAGCGACTCAAACACCCAGCCTCCTATCTAACGAGCGGGGAAAGAAAAAGAAAGAAAACGGCCCGTTCTAGCCCTTAGTTTTGGTGCAACGCCAATCTTCTTCACTGGCTCGCCAACAAAACAAGGACTGCTATATAAACAGTCCTATATAAACAGTCTGAGAGCACATGCGCAAGGATCTGTGCCCTGTTATTATTATTACAGTATATTCAAGGATATGATCCGGCCTTGTCCCTGAGAAGAAAAAAAAACCTTTGTGGAAACTTTCAAAGCTGAAGACGGACCGAGACCGAGGCATTGCCTCGCTGCAGGTTCACCCCCAACTTATTTTACTACACATGATGGCAAGTTCGCCTGAAAAAATCTGTTGCCTCGTTTCCTTATGGCAAAACAGTTTCTTTATCACCAAATTAGCAAGCATTTGATGCAGGTGAAAAATTTACACATACATGAATACATACAGTTAAATCTAAAAATTAAAACAAAAAACAAAAAAAAAACAGACAAATTCACCAAGAACTCACATTGGCTCTCCAGTTGCAATATATGCCTGGATCACTTCATCTGTTAATGTTCCAAATGACACCAATGTCTCCTCATAAAACTGGGTTATGCAGGGTTCTTTAAGCCAATAAAAGACAAGAAGTTAATTTTCTCATAAGGTACTAATCTGCTCAACTATCTTAAGATTAAATTCATCTATCAACAACTTCCTGAAAATCACTCCAAGAGGAGAAATTTAGTTAATTAGTTTAATTCTATATTCAATATTATGTTAATGAATTTACTTCCGATCAGTCTATGATTATGAAAAGAGGATTAAAATTTGATGCAGTTTAGCAAGTTTAATTTTGACTGTTTCAGGAAGTTTTTGCATTTTGATTTCCATTTGAAGAATACCCCACACTCCACATGGACCTCACTGATCCTCAGGAATGGTGCAAGACAACTAAAATGGAGAATTTGGTCTTGGATCTGGTTAACCCTTTAACTCCCAAGATCTCATTTGTATTTCTCCTTACTGTCAGCCATACAATTCATATGATGTAAGTTTGGAGAATTTGGAATTGGATCAACTAATAATCCCCTAATTGATATTTTTCTCTATTCTCTTTACTTGTCTGCTTGATATTGTACTTATAGCATAAGGAGAAATTCTGTCTTGGTCACTAGTGGGACTTATAGGGTTAAACTCCTTCTACGTTCAAATTTTTTATTTTTTTTGCCATTATGTAAGGGCCTTTTCCTCTTTTAAAAACATTTTTGTTGGGAAGCGAGCCCCAAGATTTTGAGTCAAAAGCCGCAAAGGGGAAATGAACAATTTTGGATAGCCTTACCCATGAAACAACTATCACAGTGCCACACTACTATAGTGATATATTTCACAGATAATTGTATAAATACCTTTGGCACCCTCTCTTTGTAAAAGAGTAACCCCACTGAATACTGCATGATCCTTACCACTCAAACTGAAAAAATATGCCCATACAGTTGTTATGAAAATACCACCACAAGATCAGAAAAATCAAGTTGGATCAGTAGATGCACCTACACATGTCTTTGAGTGCTTATTATGTTAAATGTAAACACAAATGTTAAGTATTCTTCATGCTTATTTCACATAAACATTTGACATGTACGCCAAATTTTCCATGTGGAGGAGAAGTGGAAAGTTTTTTAAAAGTCTGACACACATTGATTTTATTTGATTTTCAAACAGCTCTACATTTACACAGAGAAATAAAAAGATTTGCAGCTTAAGACTAATGCACATCCATTTAAACCCAGACCTCCTGTGGGGCACCTCAGACAAGAAAATAATCATGAACTTATTCACCTTTTTAACATTGAATATGCATTTTCCTTGTCTTTTGGTTTTTCAAGAATAACTTCATCTAAGACCTGCCAATGCAAAAAAGTTATTGATGCAATTATGGTTTTCAAGAAAAAGAAGACTATGGGATGTACCTAATGTGCTGATGGAAGAGTAACTAAAAACCATCATTCCTTCCTGATGCAGATTTTTCTGCAAATAGTCCTTCAAGAAAAATTGACATAAATGTAAGCTCTACTTACAACAACCGTATCAGATCCAATGATCAAGGTGAGTTTATCACTCTGGAAAGTAAGCAAATCTTAATTAACCCTTTGACAAGCATTAAGTTTCTCCGTAAAATGTCGCCCCAAAATCACTGCTTAAAGTCAAGAGTATAAAGAAAATGATCACCAACTAGTGAAGCTCTTGATTGTGAAGCAAATTCTCCTTTCCAGTACATTAGGAAATATATATAGAGCAGTAAGGAGAATATGCATACTGACATTAGGGTGTAAAGGGTTAAGGGATAGCCAAGAGCAACTCTAGTTTCCTGGGCACCTCTGATTTATTTTTTATCTCGAAAAACACACAAATCACACAGGAGTCAATTTTTTTATCAACAGAGCAGTTTTACTGAAAATGAAACTCGCTACTGCAAATGAATTGAATAACAAGCATTTCTTAGTAACTTTATAGTGTTACTTTTTTTATCCCCAGCTAAATTGCATGGGAAGGGTCTGGTAAAAATCACTAAAATCAATGATTAAGAAATTAATTAAAAGATTGACCTTATTATGGATCGACATAGGATATCTTAAAAGTTCTTCTCCAGTGACCTCCAGTAGAGCCAAAATATTACATTTAAGGCACTTACCTTATTGACTCGCCCAGCCACCTCTAGTGCTTTTTGTCTCGAATTCTCCAAGACATATTCAAAAGGATACTTAAAAGCGGTTTTGTCAAGTGTTTCTTCAAATCTGGATGGAACAACTTCAAACTTCAAGCCCTGAATTTCGAATAGGAAAATCTATGAGGAATTTATCGCTCACTACAACAAAAATATATCTAAACCTTGCAAGAATACTCAAAATTTTACAATTTTTCGCAGGATCTCGCATCTCCTCGGTGAACTACTCGCTAGAATGACTCTTTGCGCGGATAAAACCTCTAAAAGTGGCTCCAACATACTGGCGATGAAAATTACCAGGCGCGCTCGAGAACAACAGAAAAGCTTGGCTACTAAGTTTGGCGGGAAGTAGTTGTTACTGGAGTCCAGTCTACTAATAAAGTGGTGATGGAAAATAAAATTAATATTTTTGTCTTTAATTCATTATATCATCTGATATTCTATCATGTCAAGAAGATTTATTTGAAATGATTTATTTTTACCCTTCCGTTCCAAAGAATGAGAGCAAGTCTAATGAATGTAAGCTACGGTTTGTCCATGCTGGTGTCCCCAATATGTCTGTCACGCAAAAACCGCATTGGACTTTGGCCAAACTTTGTGCTAAACGAAGCTATAGAGTAAAACGACATTAATCTTTTTTCTGATCTATATTTATTCCCTGCCCACTCAAAAATCTGACAAATGCGAGTCATGTGAGCTGGGTGAGAAATTCTTTTAACTTCTTCAAACGACTAGAATTTGGTTACAGAAACGAATATAAAAAAATATTTCATGTAACCATTTCAGCTAAAAGGTTTTTTTTTTGCGACGAAATCAACCCCAACAAACCTCAAACATAGTTTTTTTTAATGATAGTGCGGGTAATAATAATTAGAAAAGATCTTGACGCTAATTCATTATAGTTCAAATTCAAATCTGAACTTAAGTATGGGAGTTTTTTCAAGGGTGTTCTCCTGTTTGTATTTAACTTGACTTCCAATACCTTCATTTTGGCTCCTTTTTTCCGTTTCTCAGCGTCCAGTAATTATTCACCTTGACTTTAAATTCTGGATCCCAGCCATGTTCCGTAATTGACTTATAAATAACTTTGAGTTTATCCCCAAACCGGAAACCATAACTGTTTCCGGTATTATTTCGAGAGTGATTGACATGTATCAAAGCGCAGTTGTGAGAATTCGTTTCGCTGTATATCATGGGATTGCGCCGACAAGCACCTACGGGTCATTGATGAAATGAAAACATTGTGAATTGTTTTGAAGAATCTTAATATTGCCGTAGTGTTATGTTTATGGTGAAAAAAGAAACCTTCAAGAAGATATTCTGCACAGAGTTTAGCAAAATGTCGTTGTGCTGTGATTTTTCACGAGAATACAAAGGAAAATTAGAATCGGTCATTAATGACATTAAAAATGGAGGTGTGATTTGACGTTTTCCACGCATAACTCTATTGTGCCCTAATGTAGTTTTCGTGAAAAGTTGCCTAATCCTCACCAAAGAAAACCTCTGAGGCGGCGTATTTTAATGTAAGTTTTCTAGATATTACATGCAAAATTAGCTTGGTGTAGTTTTGTTTGACATCGCTCGACATTGATTACGGGGCGTTACGATTTATCAGTAGACAAGCAAGTAAACACGTCAATTAATGTTCATGTGTTTATTTGGAAAAAACGAATAACACTTGAGATGTTCGTATTTACTTGAACTTAAGTCAAAATGTTATGGAAATTTCTCAGTTAACAGGTGTGATCCCTATTAAGTTTTTTCAAACAGACCGTGGTTATCTGTAATTCCACGTTTTTAAAGCTCTGTAATTGGATGATAAGTGTTAGGTAATGCGTTGATAAACTTCCGTCATCTAGTTTGAGACGCAGTTGGGTTGCGTTTCGCAGCTGCGAAATCCGTAGCTATTTGTTCACTGTGGAAGAGGTTTCAAAGTCCTCGCGAAGTATCTATTGATTGCAGAACCGTTCCTTACCAGAAGAGCTATCATTTTCATCGTAAAATGGAGCAACCCTTGAAAGAAGAGAAGTCAAAGAGCGAGTCGTGTGATCAACCGAGTTCGTCAGCTCCCGACACAGGCAGCTCTGAGTTTCCTCGCGGCTCCGCAAATCGTAAAGAAAGAAAACGCACTCTTACAATGAACACAGCATTTGCTGAGCTTCGGGATCATATCCCAAACGTCCCCCCAGACACGAAGCTTTCGAAAATCAAAACACTCAGGCTTGCCATTAGCTACATCAAGTTTCTGATGGAAATTCTCGAGGAGAGCAATGAAGGGAAGACGAGCCGAAGTCATCGCAACTTTGTAGCGGATTTATCGTTTCAAAATGAGGGCCGAGAGAAGAGAAAAAGAGAAAATAATGTAAGTAAAATTATCTTTGTTTGGTAACTAACATTTGCGTAGCCTACGATATGCAGTTCCCTTCGCATGTTGTTGCTTTATTCGATGTTCTTTATTCAACAGCTTGCCAGCCAAAATGATTCTACTCAGAGAAAGAGAGGTCGAACGGGATGGCCGCAGTATGTATGGGCAATGGAGCTGAGGAACTAAGATGCTCTGCCACTCCGAACCTGCTTAATTCCTAATACCTCCGGGCGCAAAATGCGGACGTGAGTCCCAGGAAAGAGAAACAGATTTTTAAACGTTGACGGTATGGGTCGCACTTGCGAAATCACGACTCACACGTTCTCTTGGATCAGCCACAATTGAATGCATCACATCTATTTCCGAACCTTCGCCTGTTGTCTGCGGGACGCTATCATGAGACACTTCATCTTATTGTTCTACCGTAATTTCGTCGTTTCAATTTTACAAGTTAGATGTTGGCTCTTAAATTCACTGATCTAGCGAACATTGCTTTATTACGACGTGTACATGCAAAGCAACATACGAAGCGTCCAAATAAAGGTGTGAGGGGAGATGGCTAAATCTTCAATGGTTGAACAATTAAATTCGCAATATAGTTTTAATCGATCGGTGAGTGAAATTTTAAGCTTTTTTGACGGAGATGGCGAAGGCGCTAGATGCGCATGGGAACACTCGAGAGTATAGTGTAAATAATAAACATTTATGGGATTAGTTTGTTATTGCGGATAGTTTTGTTTTGCAGCAAAGATAATCAACAGCTATGGCACTTGAGCATCGTGAGCGACCAATGTGAAATAATATCTCGCTTATTCTTTAAAACGTGAATCATTTCTCAGCAAAATTTCACCTATAATATAGAGACAACCTCTATTTTTTAAACGTACTTGATGACCCTTGTAAAAAACGTTGCTACATAGACCTATTATCATAATTCAACAGAGCTCTTGTGTAGTTTATATTTAACATAGATGAAAATCTTTGGTTGATTTTTAAACACTTAAAGTAGTTTGTTAACTTCAAGGTACATCAGTGAGTAAGTGGGTGGAACGAAAACACTTTAAGCTTATTTATTGTTATTTTACTCGAAGTTGTGAATATTTATAAAATTACTTACTGTTTTTACTCGAAGCGCGTCACAGAAATTTCTCGTTAAATAGCTATCAAAATGTAATATACAATTAAACAGAAAATTGCCCTCATAAACAATAGACTTTGAAGGTTTGTCATATACTAACTTACATATTATAGAAAGCTGAGGTTTTGGCGCTAAAATTCACGATACATGGCTCTTAATTTACGTCACATATGCTTCTTCAATCTTCGTAACTTACAAGAACACGTTTTTCTCTCGCACGTCGGCGTTTGAACCTAAATCCAAGAAGTATTAAGAAATTTTGCGGTTTGTGGTTGAAAATGAGCCGGATTTCATATTTAGAACATGGTTTTAGCTGCCTCGCCCGTGCTCTAGAAATCTCAACTGATATGCAAGAGGGTTAAAGCCGAGAAATGACGGTCTTTTCTCTTTTCTCCCGCTGCTGAAGGCAAAAGAGTCAGTATGTGAAACGAACCAGCCGCCTAGTTAAAGCAGCGCTGTAGAATATTCTAGAGGCAAACAGGACATGAGCGCCAAAGGAAAACTACGTGCGGCCAAAACGTAATGCGCAGAGGAATTTTAAAAAAACGTTTCATTCATAAAAGAGTAATCAAGAGTAGGCTTTTGCTGCAAAGCGGAGGAATTTTTGACAAAACATTTCACTCGTTAAAGGGCGATCAAGAGAGAGAGACAGCTTTTGCTGTAAAGGATTAAATCTCTATCGAATCCTATAAAAACGTAACCGTCTTTTCAAAAATCTTTTTTTGCAAATTTTTACATCGCTCTAACTATTTCACAAGACACCGACTCGGAAAATTCGATCAAGTGTATCACCTGAACTTGGTTCGCTGGTATGAGTTAATGAAACCTAATCAGAACGCCGATTACATCAAGGAACTCGAAAAAACATGAGTGGATGTATTCACGACACTGCACTGGATAATTTTGTTACCCGTGCACTTAAGTTCGTTTGCCTGCTAAAGACAAGTTCTTCCTGCGACTGAAATGACCGCATTATACGTTAGTCAAGGTAAAGAAAACCGTTAATAGACCAGTCAATTTGAAATCGATCTACAGTCTTCGATCCAGATTATTTCTTAGTACTTACGAGCACTCGCGTTTTTTGAATACATTCATGAAAATGTTCCTCGGACAAAAATAAAAATGAGTTGTATTTCTGTAAAATTTACAAAACTGAACTAACTCGAGACCACTGCGAACACGTTTTTCTTTTCTCCCTTCTCATTTCGGGAAAAGTAGTTCTATGGAGTTTGCTTTCCACGATTTCGTGAGATTTCTTCACGAACCAGGATCAGTGTACCTCAGTAACTTATTTCTAACTATAAACAGAAATAATTTCAAATTTACCAAGTCACCAATCAGTTAGGAATTGATGATCACTTCCATGTCGCAAACTAATAGGTATATTAATTTCTTTTTCTTTTTTGAATGATTCTTTTAACTTCGTGGTAAACGGTCATTCATGAACTGAACAAGACTACACTGTAGAATACCGTAAGACGTCCTCCAAAAATGGTGACGTCTCTTGAAGTAATAAGGATCAGAAGCGAACAAAGTCTAAGTCGGTTTTTGAAATATTCTCTTACATTAATTGGCCTTTTTTTATAACTAACTAAAATTTCCCGTTCACACATTGCTTGTTTGTTTAATTGAATTACTTTCTAAGAAAATCAAGAGGAATTTCCAGAATTTCCGATCTCTCACATTGCGAGTGAATTTACTGAGTAAAGGAACAATACTTTCCTCAAACTCCCTATTTCAAGGATAATAGATGTGTCAGGAGTGTGATGAATAATAAGTACAATGAATCTTCGACATAACTGATGTAACAAATAAGAAAAAGGCATTTAACGCAAGTTTTTGTTTTTTCGAGAGATTCGTAGAAGTCACGACAAAAAACCCTGCCAAAAGTTGCCTCCTCACCATGAAGCTCATCAGAAGTGGAAGGTCTTGCTCTTCCGCGGAGGGTTTCGACCTTGCTTTATTCAATTATGTCTAAAGTACGCATTAATAATTTATTTTGTGGCTTACTTTGTCTTTCAAGAGCCCTTTCAATAGATTCCTTAATCTGAGTAACGGGATATCTGCTTCCCTTAAAGAAGAAAGGTCTCTTTCTCAGAAATTCACGTGTTTCTTATGAGGTCTGTTTCCCCTTGAGATTTAAGTAAACTCTCGTGAGAAATTTTCCTCAGTGTTTTGCTGACAGTTTTATCCGTTTATTAAAAGTAAACATTGGGGGGAAAACTTGAAATTCAGACAACTTCGTAGAAAAATAAGATCTCTTGGAATAACAAATAGACAGGTTTTTGTCCATGAACGTAGATATTTTCAAGTGAATATGCGATTTGTTCATGACAAACAGATCTTCTGTACAAAAATATTCCAAATATAGGTTTTTTTTCAAGTTTCAACCAGAAATTTAAACGTGCAGTTGTTTTGATTGAAGTTCAACCAGTTGTAGTAATTTGTAGCTGCAATTCAGTCCGCGTAAAATAACCACGAAGGGAAGTGTTTACTTTTATTTTTTCATCCTTCCGCTGAGTGATTCCGAAAGAACTGCACTTAAATACGAAAAGGAAACACTACTTAATCAAACTAAGGCTTTATTCATTAAGAAATTACTTGAGAATGCTTTTCGTGATGAGGACTTTTTTCTGTGAGTGGTGAAAACACTATGATGAAAGTTTTAAAACGTTTAAACTAATCAATTGTTTCTCAGATCGATGACAAGTTATAGTAAAACTTACTAAAGTAAAATTTCCTTGTATAAACTCCTGGAACCCAGCGAAACTGTTTCAGAAACAAGTTACATGGCGAACTTTCTGTTAGAACACACACGCCCGAGGAACAGATTAGCCATTTTGAAATGTCTCCAGGGCAAATCTTATCGGTTTGATGAAATTGTAGGACCGCACAGCGTAAATGTTTCATTAGTTTTCGTTGATTAGATTTTCTCACTCACTTCAATGTGCCTTATAGTTTATTCAATATCATCAATAGCTTCTACAAACCATCATTTAAAACACATCAGTAAACATATGTTTGTGATTATTTACGCCCACGAAGTACTTCAAGAATGCTTATTATTTGATAAAAATGACAAAAAACTTCGGTTTAGGAGTAAATGAATTTTTAGATAACAAATTATCAGGTTGATAAAGTTAGACCTTTGCCTTCTGTTATCTCTTTTCACTTTGCACTCAGTGGCAGTCTTAGACTATCTCCTCGTCTTCTTGAAAATACTTAAAACGACTTAAAACGTCTAATCTGTCGAAAGGTCAAACATTAAGAATGGCACGTTATAATCACTTTAACAGCTCCACAAAAGACCGTTCTTAGCTCTAAGCTTAAGAGTCTTCAGACTGGTGTTCATTACAGCTCCCACTTAAGGTTCATAATTCTTGGAGTTGCTCTACATCTGTGGCTATTTAGTGGAGCGCTGGAAAGAAAGTAAACATTTAAATTACTTTTTAATTATTCCCTGAACAAATTAAACCTATTTGTCAACTGAAACTGTTAACAAACTATCGTTCTAGCAACATCATTAAACTGTTCTAACTTTAGTGGCGCAGATCAGGCTAGTTTGTAAATTCAATTTTGTCCTGTCGCATTCATGCTACGTGTGACTTCGTTTGGCACGACGAAGAGTGTTGTAATCGCACTTAGAGCTTTATCTGCGAAGATAACACCTAACAATGACATAGTCTACGCGCAGAATGATATATTCGTTTTCGAAAGCCTCAAATGGATTAGTATTAGCTCTCTGGGATTTAAAACTACAACAGAAACTTACCGTTAAGGTGTAAATTCCGGAAATGACAACGAAAAAAACCTTTCCAGGTTATGCCGTAAAGATGCACTCGAACTGCCTGCTATGTACACTAGAATTTCACTGTTGATTATTTTGTGTAAAAGCCATCTTTCAGTGAGATAAGGAGCTTTATGTCAAGTATTTAAGATGGGGGAAAGCCAGGGTGATACACTAACTTGAACTCTCCACAAAATCAAACTCACGACAAAGAGCAAAAGCGGCGAAATAACACCCCAAAATTGTCTTACAACCTTTCAACTGTGTAATCTCGATAATGGATTGTTTAAATTTAACACCCAAGACATGTAGAGCAGTTCTGTTTTGCTTTTTTATGTCGCGTGAGTTTCCTATCAGACGGAAACTGTTGGCCCTAATCCCATTATAACCGTCTACCTCTCGAACGATAAAAACTAGAAATCGCGATTTATTCGCGATATGCGTAAAAGCTACACAGCTGAAAATATTTTGACTATTTTCAGAAGCAGTTCAAGTCTTTCTTATACCTCTTAGTTATCCCCTTTTCGTGTTGGGAGAGAAGATTAATAGGAAATATATCATTCCCCGCGATGAATGCAAAGTAATCTTGCATGACTAAAATTTAGGCACTATCAGAAACATTCAAAATATTTACTTGAACACGATATGCCGAGTGAAGGTAAAATGAAGGCGTATTACTGAGAATTTGGGGTTTACAAAACGCCATAAAAACCTTATTTTTTTCGTTTTTCAAATAATTAAGAATTCCTTTCTATCAAGAGGATCAATAAAACGTAGAGATGATGTCATCTACCCCAGTCAGACAATGTCATGGCAACCCAAGGATTTTTGTTCCTAAGCATTGAAAAGAAGGAAGATCCTGTAATAGAGAACATCAGTCCAACTGTACTTGAGAACCAAAAAGCCGACGGTACAATCCTATCATTTGCTGAAATGCTTTGCATAAATAATGTGTTAACCTATTGCTCAGTTCTTGAACCATGATTGGCTCCGTGGCGAAACTGAATTCTAAATTGATTGAAACGATGGCTGTTGTTCCGTTGCCATGCTGTCAATGCTCTGTAGTAAATGCAATAAGTATTTTAAAAAGTTTGCCATTGCCTTATCATACGAGTTACATCGTATATCGAAAAAACGCTGTTGACTTTTTTTTAGAGATATTCTACTTGGCTGAGGTCCAAAGCACCCATGTATGAACCAAATCCGTTGAATATTCCTAAATAGCTCTCAAAGTTTTAAAAGTGACGAACTCGTTTGAAGTTTTTAGACACGAGTGAAATAGTAAAATTTTCCGCGTATTAACCTGAGTATTGCTTAGTAAAGACGCTCGCTCGAGTTATTCGTAGTTTCAAACCCAAGCCGTCTAGACAAAAAATGAGATGTCTTCGTAGCCACTGTACCGTGCGTTTTCCAAGATATCTAAGTTGCAGTTTCAGTAAAGAAGATTGTATTTTGACGATAACCAAACAATTCTATCGGTTACTGATCAATCAGGATGTTAAGCGTGTAATTCAATGTAATCAAATAAATAAAACTGAATGTAAAAAAAAAAAGAAACCAGAGTTGTACCTTAAGTCTGTTCACAGAATTAATTTTAGTATGAGACTACTTGCCTGAATAGCTCTAAATTCAACCAACAAACGTCCCACAGTTGGCTAAAATTATACGGAATTTTAACGACTCTGTCGCTATTTCTCACGCCGTAATTTTAGCTAAGGGCACGTCTAGTCATGGTAAAACGGAACCTAAAGATATGTGAATTTGGGATTTAAGTCTAAAGCGACATATTCGACGCCCTCATAAGCCGACTGAGTTGTCTGCATGGAGACTGACGAAGACACGATACTCTGCCATTTCAAACGGCTCTTAAGAACATTTTGAGCTTACAATTAACTGAGTTTGGTAAACAAAACACATTGTTCCTTTCCTGCGAGAATTTCCAAGAAATATTAGAATTGGTATTTTCAGTTAAACCTCGAGCGAGAGGATTGCAATTCTCGCTAAACTGCCTAGAAAATTAGATTTGGAAGACACTTTTGGCAGGTCAAAGAGTCACAACCGGCTTTTGAAAAGTAAGTTGTGTTGAAATACTGTGGCGCGAAACAATAACGTTTTCTTTGCAGGGAAGGCTGATTAGCTGGTCGGTTACAATGTGAAGCGAGGACTAAGAACTCTCCAATCAGACGGTTACTTTCCTTGTTTGATTTTCAAGCAGAATTCAGGATCAATTCTGCTCATATGCCTTCAGTCCTAGTAATGCTATTCTGACCTCCAAACTTGGCTTTCATCGCACTGTGTAAGTAGGATAATTACCATGTTTACCAGAGGGATTTTATCGTTATTGATATATGGATAGTTAGCGTAAGGAAGCTCACATAGGCGATTTGTTTTCCCCTGTTCGGATGGAGGAGAATGACACTATCAAATACGACGAAACTTTACTAAGCAGTAGATAATAGAAATGCTTTTTTTTCATTTGCGGTACTGACCATTCTTAATTAGCAGTTTGTTTTCTCCAATATACGTTTCAGAATAAGGCAAATTAAATATACCGCAGCGCCAATACCGTCTGAATGGGACTATTAACAGACTCTTACACAACAAAATTATCAAAACCTTGTGATTGTATTTTCATGAAGTTATATAGAAAGCGTACATGGCTTGATTTCATACCTTCGCTTAGAAATCGTTGTTAGTAACAATACTGCAACAATACTGTATGTTCTTTAATAAACTACTACATTAGGTAGTTTAGCTTACAGCGTTTGCGCCGTGACTGATAATTTTGGTGCCATATTACATTTAAAAAACCAACTACGACTGCACTGGTTACTTCAACAAATGCCTTCCCATTTGGTTTTGAATCAGATAAGATATCTTACGCGTGTTTTTATTTCTTGTGATATTACTTAATATTGTTGATAGTCAATGATAAATTGAAGGAAAGTACGACTACATGGTTCGTAAGAAACCGTCATGGACTCGAAAATCTCTGCGGCAGGATTTCTTTTTTCCCATCAAAACGTTTGCATATGGGAATACAAAGACTGTCTCCAATTGCCGATGTTCATAAGATTAAGTCTTCGATGCAGAGACAGACATTTAAAGCAAAATTGGTCACATACGTGATTCTTAAAAATCTAACCCTCAGGGCACACGGAAGATTTAGCGCGAAGAGATAAGTTACCTGTCACTTAAAACCCACTGTTATGTGAGTTGTGGGTTTTCTAGGGGAAACGTAAGTTCTCAACTGTTGACACGTTTATTACTCATGGCTAAAAATGTCTTTGATAGGTTAAAAGCTCTAATTTTCGCTGATTCATACGTGCAGCACACGTTGTGGGTGAACCCGTAGGTGTGTGTGTGTGTGAGGTAAAGGTGTTTCATGCCCCAGGCTTTGACCTTCCGTTAAATAGAACGGAATTAGTATAATTAAAAAAAGCTGTAGAACCCTAAACTGACTGTGGTTTTAGAGAGAGAAGGGCACGTCGGTTTGAAAGGCCTAGACGAACGAAAACTGCTTAACTTGGAAAATTTAAGATTCAGTTTGTTGGTTTAATTCTGGTATCTTTGACTCAAAGGGTAAACTAAGATCTTTGACGTGATGGCACGGAAGGTCAAAAAGGTATCACAGTTTTTCTAAATACAGAGTCATTTGAAATTTTGGTAATTCATACTGATTCGACATGCGACTGGAACTGAATCCCATTGTACGCCTATTTAAGACAAAGGTTCCCTTCTTTACATCAGACAAATTAGTTTGAAGATTAATTCAGAGAACTATTCAGACTTATTAAGACTCTCTAGATGCTAAAAGATCAATAATTCATTTTAAGAATGCGAGTAAAGTACTTTTTGCCTTCTGCATCATATGATTAGGTGTAGGTCAAACCACAAAGCTGAGAGACGAAAAGGTATCTTTTTGTGTGTTCAAGTTAACCTAAAATGAACTAGACTGTGCATAGCTGTAGGCTGCAGCTTTTTCTTTTCGCAAGATTAGTTTATTGAGTTAAATTTCTAAGTAATTTCTATCACAGCCTTAATGACTGAAACACCTCATAAGAGGTTTCAAAGGATATTTCAAAACCAATTTATTCCCACGACTTAGCTACGGTGCAATTACATAATCAAGTGAAGGTCAAAGATTTCCCACATTGTTAAATCAATTAGTTATGCAAATCTCACGATGATGGAAAAGCTGAATTAATTTGGACGTTAATGTCAAACTGAAATGTTTCAACCAGCCTCGCGCTGAAAGACAAAAATACAACTGTCCAGTTTTCTGAACACGAAAATGACACTTACTTGATATATTTCTTACGGCTACACGAAGCGTTGATTGGCAAAGATCCGGCTTCAGGGAATTAAAAAATATGCCCTTTGAGAAGTACAGAGGCCTGAAATAATAATGTTTTGACCTATCACTTGGGATATCTCTAATTCTCGGTTGTGGTTGACCGGTTATTTTTTCAAGCTGGAATTAAAAGCCTCCTCAATCGGATCCTCCTCATATTTTGAATACTCAGGTGTACATTGTATTCTTCGAGTATGGGAAAGCCGGAAAAGAGTCATCTTTAACATTTCTGAATGCTGATATTAGATGAGCTCCCATAAATTCGATTTTTAAATAGGAAAAAAAATCTGCTCTCCCCTAGATTTGTGATGAGTGTGCCCGAGTATAGTTCGTAAGCAGATTGCTCCAAGAGAGGCAGAAAACAAGACAGAAGGCTAACAACGCTGGCGTTTTTATCGCTTGGGCAGGATTTATCTTGTAAGATTTCCTGAGTTTCAAATGATAACCAATCGAATGGCCAGAGACAACCAATTTCGTTAGCTGCCAGCACTTTTTGGTCAAAACGTGGCTTTGAAGGCAATTTTTAGCTCTGGGATCTTAAGCACTGCGCATCACAAAATCCTATTGTTTTACTTGGTATTTGGAATAATGATGCAAAATTGTTACAGATTGTCTCGATATTCCAGCTGATGGTGCGTACCAAAACTATCAGTGCATTAACGCCTAAAATGTGCAAATTGATAGCATGCCAAGTCTGCTATGTCGCAAGTGAAAATTGATTTTTCCCGCTTCTTGGGAGAGGCCAAATCCTTAGTTTTTACATAGCTTTATGTCTCATTTTTGAAACATTGGAGCAACGACCACACGCAACATTGCTTCTTCCTTAAATTGTGGCGCCAAAAGGCTAATGAAAGTATAAACACTGGTAAGCAGAAATTAACAATTGAACACATGTCAGTGGAGGTTTAGGTCAAGGAAGATAAGAGAACGGAAATCGATGAGAGATATCACACGGCTTTCACTGATCAACACTCACGCACGTGAAAACACTCGGGTGGGATTCTGGGACAGATTCGCACCGACAGAGAGCTGTTTGAAAACAATAGCACCTAGAAACTCTGAGAATCGGTTGTATAATTTTGGCTTAACCCATTCAGCAGCTGTCTGCGTTGAGATTCCCAAACAAATCGTACGGAGAGTTTGGACAGCGATTTCGCCAGATTTATAGTTGAAACCGTGTAAGTGGAATATCAAGACTTTGGAGACGTTTTAACATGGACGATCGCGATGTTCTTAAGACGGAAATCGAAGAAGAAAGCGGTTCTCCCACAAGCAAGCAAGATGTTAACGGAGGCTGCCGGAGAAGGAGAGCCAAACCTAAAACGGCGACAAGTAGAAAGGAACGAAGACGAACGCAGAACATAAACGCTGCGTTTGATGATTTGAGGAAACACATACCCAATGTTCCCTCCGACACTAAGTTATCCAAAATCAAAACACTCAAACTTGCGATGAGCTACATTCATCATTTGGAGAATCAACTGGAAGATGAAAGCCAAGGCCAGGAAATTGTTACGCCTCCTGAGGAATCACGCCGCAAAACAGACAACAACGACGACACTGTTAGCAATGACAGCAACAGTTCTGATCGATTAGATTCTTCACCGAAGGTAAATAACAAAAGAGCATCTTGAATATTAGGAGGTTAACTGTGAGCTCGAAATACTGAAATGCAATTTTCGAGTGGAGTTTCCTGCTTAGGTCATTATTACATAATTGCTTTACATTTAATAGCAGTCCTAAGTACTTAAACAACTAACTGACTTCGGTCAACGGACGAGCGGTTAAGACATCGAGAATGCAATGATCATACTTTCACTCCGACTTGATGGTTCATTTTGCAAGAAGGTAAAATTATGGCGTTGAATCTCAACAAATTTGAGCGATAATGTTCCTTCAAATGTGTTACAATACCATTGTGGTTCTCTATGGGGTTCCAGCTCTTTTTTTTATTAAAAGTGGAGCTAATTACGAACAGCTTGTTTGGTTATTTTAATTCATTTATTTCAGCTAACATGCCATTGACCAATTCCAGTTGCGGTAGACAAACGGCAACGTGATTAAATCCACGCATGTAAAGAGATGGAAGTATTTTTTTTCGCTTTGTTATGAGCCTGGGATTAAGTACCTTTTTTTGTAATTTGCTTTGTGATACAGAATTGTGACGAAAAACAGAGACTCTCTTCCCCGCCGCGTCGAAGCTCCAGAACAGGATGGCCGCAACACGTATGGGCATTGGAGCTCGTGGGAAGCCTCAAACAACAATCTGTTGCGTAATGATAAATTTCATCTGGCGAATCTTTCTGCACAAAAATATTGAAAAGTGTGTTTATCCACATGTTGTAACTAAGTTCAGCCCAAACTGAGATCATTTACGCGAAATGATTGAAGACGTGTTCAGGAAACACGAAGTGATTCCGCTAAAGAACGTAACACCTTCGTCAGACGAGGCTGGTGGGAAAAATGGCTTGCGAAGCGAAAGGATTCTGTTATGTTACTATTGAGACATTTGTTTCTACTTATCTTTAATGGGAAAACGTTGGAAATTAACAGGGAATTGAATCTGCATTGCGGCCTAAATATTCTGTAAAGAGCCACTTATAAATTGTAAATGATGTTCGGGGAACCCAAAGGTGGTTGTTGAATACCTATAGAGGTTATTTGGGATGTTGGTTATCGATGATCTCGAGAATAGTTGTGTAATAATTGATATTTTTACGTTGAGTCATAAGGTGTCTAGTCTATATACATATTAAAAACTCATCACTTAACTTCCCTACAATAAAAAACATTTGATGAATAAGAAATTAGTTTAGAAACTTACTGCAAAGAGCGCTAGCGGTTTTTGCTGTGTGGCCATGGTGATTTTTCAGGTTGTTCAAAATGATTTCCATCTTGAATCCGTCATAATAGTGCGAAAGAGTGGTTTTCTCGCGTTCAAAAATAAACGCGTATTATATTAACGATTGTCGTAATAGTAGTGTCCTGTCTGATTTAAAAAGTGCAGTGATGATAAACAGAGAACTTCGTGTTTAGTGTCCAAGTGCTCTGACAAGCTCCAGAAGTCGAACAAAATGTCGACCTGTCATATTCACTTCCTTACACGACGACCGTTCTCCAAGGTTTTATTTCGTGTTATTTCAACAAACAATGCTGTTCGGAATTCTAAAGAGTTCTTAAATGCTTTTGGACTCTGTGGAAGCGAGATGTGATGATAGGTAAGATAAAAACTGGGAGATTTTGAGGTCCTTTACATGTGCAACGTTATCATGGTAGAAGAAATAGTGAATGTCACAGACGGCCGCGAGACTGCAACTATTTCCTTTTTTTATTTGCATCTTTTTCGGCTTTGTTTGTCGTTTAGTCGTCTGCTTTATACGAAATTACGCTGTAGTCCCTTACACTTCTGATATCACTTCTAGAGTTCAAAAGAAAATCTTTGCTGGGATACATTTTGATGGACTCTTACAAACTGAAACAGATCATTCCAGTCTTCAATTTAATCTTTGAAAGAAATACAAAGTATTTCACGGAGATGCTTTGCAAATCAGCTTTGTGAAAGAATCACTGAGTATTTTATTTAATCAGTAGACAGAGAGAATGAACATACCATGCTTTAGAAACTGGCTTTGCCAAGTCAGCAGGTCACAAAATTGTTCGCTAAAAATCGCTTTTATTCTTCGTAACATTAACGTTTTGTAAAACATTATCTGATTGTAACTAACCACAGTGAAAACAAAACTTAGACGTAGTTTTTGGATATATGATTATCGGAGAAGAATGTCCAACCTTTTCCGGAATATATCTACAGCATTGGTTTTCGGTAATAACGTTTCTTGTTTGCTCTTTAAAATCATTTAGGACGCAATGTCCAAATGCTGGTTATTTCATCGGCATTTGTCCAAGTGAAAAAGCCATTCTGAGGTAGACGTTTGCATAGAGGCATTAATTAAACTTGGACAACTTTCGTGAGAGTCAGACGTAATATTTGCTAATGGTTGAGGAGTTTGGTTCATAATAATGAGATAACAATCACATTAGCTACCCAAACAATGACAAAACTTCTCGTTCGCGGAAAACGTTCTGGTTAATGGAGCGCCCAGAGATTTGTTCTTCAAAACCGAGGACTATCGTGGGATGAGGCAAGATCGTTTGTATCAGTCTTGAGAACTAGATGGTGTTTCAAATGGGCTTTGTAAACTTTTAAAAAAGCTTCATCAGAGGGCGGAGCCGAGCTATGAATTATGATCATCTGGGGGTGGGACGATGTGGTGTCATAAAGAATGCTTTAATTAGCTTGATAAACAACTATAAACAACTTCGTAGTTGGGGCCATTTTCTACCACAGGAAGTCAAGCCACAAAACGCTTCCAACATCCGTGAGAAACTCATGACTCAGATGGTCAATATCGGCATCTAACAACTAAGACATATCAAATTAACCCAATGTTGTTGGCTTCACTTTAGCAAAGCCTAAATCTTCTTAAACGTTGACTTTCTTTGAACCCATAACCTTTGCGTGCAAATTCAAAGACAAACCAGTTTGTATTTTGTCTACGTAGCACTCATCGTATTCTTTCAAATTTTATAGACTAATGACATGTATAATGAAAACAATATCGATAATTGTGTGGCGGAGTCATCGTGGTCTAATGAAAAAATGCATTTCAGGAAAATTTGGCACATTCTCTGAATAAACAGTTTAAGATTTGAATTTTAAATGTAAAATTTCCTTTGTTAGAGACAGAGAACACCAAAAGACCATTCTGTTTCAGTAAGGTTTACTTCAACAAATTATAGTTTTAACGGAAATCTCACGTATACTCCAAGAGTAATGGAGTGTTTAAATTCCAATTAGCAACTTATGTTTAGGATTGTCAACCGCTAACTTCTCTATTTAATTCCAAGCAGATGTGTTTTTTGTGCCCTGAAGGCTCTTTTCAATTCCATATTCCGGAGCAAAACCTAAATTTTGCTTCTAAGTTAAGGTAAATATATGCGTGATTTTTGCAAACCACAACTTAATGGACATGAAAGGTGCTAGACGGCACAGGAACTACTGATGACCCCTGAGAGGCCTAAGGCTTCTTCATTTACACCAGATGAAAAAAATCGAACAGAGTGATTGGAAAAATGCATTTAATTACTAATTTTCTGTGTAACCTTTTAGTAATATTTTCACCGAACTTCGATTATTAGAACATGGATGATTTCATTTCGTTTTGAAATTAAACTACCACAATTTTTCCACCAAAGGAAAATGGCACAAGATGCTAAGGCAAGAGTAGATACTGACAGCTTTTGAAGACTAAGCAGCCGATGAAAATGTTGTAGTGAAATGCTTTTTAAACGTTACCTCTGTGTCGCAGACTTTAATTCTAAAGCTAATATCCTTTCTCTCTCTGTTTTGCAGACTCGAAATTTCTTTTCATCTAAATAATAGTCATCGGAGGCAGTTGTAAACGTTTCATCGGCAAGATGCAACTGAAATTTCATATTAAAACAGCAAGCTGCACTAAAGTTTATTAGATTTTGAATAACACAGACATTTCTGATGAGCTATGACAAACAACATCTTACTGTCTCAGAACACAATCTCTCCTCTCTGAGTTTGAGAAAACCTTCATTTCCCCGCGTGACAACAAGCATCGTCTGCAACTTCATCAAAAAGCCAACTTTCGTTTCTTTATATCCAGCCAAATAAATTTACCTTCGTTGTGAACAATTAAAATACACACAACGGAGCAGATTCTAGCCTTGCCCATCTATAGCGCATGAAATTAAGCTCAGTATGATTTGTTATAATTTTTTTTAAGGTTGCTTTCATTTAAAAATGTGAAGGTTTCAGCTGTTTGTGTGGTTGTCATCAGGAGACGAATACAAACATAAACAAGAATAACTGTCGAAGATTTGGAAAGAATGTTCACATTTTTAATGAAGTTGAAAATGAAAAAATTTAAACAGCTAAGATCTGAGAAACATCTCATCTCTACTGACTGGAAAAATTTTGTTAGGAAGAGTGAAGATATATCAACTAGCGCCGTTTACAGAAAGGATTCATTATTATTAGGAGCACGAGGACAATTTTTCGCTCTCTAAACTTACGCTTTGTTCACAATTCCAAGATTTTTGCTGTTAGATGTATTTTTATTATTTTTGAGCAAGTTTTATAAAGTATATAAGATATCAAGTTGCGGAACACTAGAATATGTAAGACAATCCTTCGGTGGTTAATAAACATACAGATTTACACATGTCTCGGCAGCTAATTGTGCGCAATTCGCACAGACTCGCAAAGACATTTTTGTATAATCTTGTAAGAAAACAGAGAATTTTCCAGAATTTTAAATCTCTCACCTCTTGCTGTTTTAAAGCCTTACTTTCGGAACCAGGGAATGAATTGAGTAGCGTCCTCTTTTTTGATCGCGAAGAAAACTCAAAGCAAATCGAGTACGTCCTTGAAAGAACACTTCATAATCTTGCCAAGAATCGCTTTGAGAAACGAAGACCTATCATTATCACTACAAGAAATGATCCTTGGGATTAGAACGAATTCCCAAATCTTCGAACAAAAGACATTTCACATTTGTAAAGTATGTTCTGGGTTCCTTCAGTCAGGTCTACAAGGATTTAACCACCAAAAACGTGGATCCGATTAACGGTAGACAAACAGTGTCGAGACAATGAAGAAGCAGTCTGTTAAGTGGCGTAGTATTGAAAATATTGTGATAAATGATGATGCAAGATACTCAGTTTTCGATTATACTGAAAGGATTTGAATTCGAAAGTAGCGGTCCATTAAGAATCTATCAACGTATGGTTGGTCTGCTGTTTTTCACGTCTTCTGGGTCACTTGCTTGCAATCCTTCAACACGCCATTAAATGTCTCCTAAGAAATCCGAAGGACATAAAAAAATCCTTAACGAATCAGAACTTAGATCTACCTCAAGTCTTCCGTGTCGAATATGATTAGAAATACATATCACCCTATGATTTATTGCGATTTTTTTTTTTGGCTTCTATGTAAGCTTCCTAAAAACCGTCTTTTAACTTATCGAAGAAATTTGGCAGAGTGTAACCCTAGAGTTATGACCTAAGGTCGTCTGGCATCTCACGAAGAATGTTGATATCGAAAATTATAGCACGGACACGATACCCAAAAATCTTCGTGTTAAGTTGAAGCTTGAGGTTTGATCTAGTCTCTCACTAGTAGTTAAATCTAAAATGCTGTTGCGGAGGTTTGAACATGAAAATCTGACGTTTCATTACCGGGTTTAACATGATGTTGATCTTTCTTTGATGTTGGTTTGGTGAATTGTCTACGTCGTGGACCTTTCGTCTAAACGTATGTCTATGAGAACATTAGTCAATTTGTCAGCTATGGTGTCAAAAGAAAAAAATGCTTTCCTTCAAAAGATAATTTACTATATCTGAGATTATCCGACGAAAAGCAAAGCCACCATACAAATTTAAAAAAGATGACTTTATGGTTTGAACTGGATGTCTTTTTTCCTGTTGTTATTTTCAGGTTTTGTATTCTCAAATTCAAACAGACTATTTTCACGAGAGAAAAGCGATCCCTGAAAGCGCAAAAAATATGTCACGGGGTTATAAATTGTCGAACCTCTTTCTATTGTTTCGAGAAGTCGTTGATAGCATTTGGAACGAAATGCTTTCAAATCTATTTTTGATCGCTACACTCTGATAAGGTCGCACTATCTCATTGCCCCGGAATTTACATTGGAAACCGCATGCAGTCATTTGTGGGTGACGGAGTTAACGCAGAGAGATAAGAACTTATGTTGTTTTGGACTTACTTCTCAGTGTTGCAAAAAGATTACGAGCCTTCAGTCAACAAGCTTCATATTCGCCTTTCCTTCCCATTGGCTTTGTGCTTACTAATAGCTGATTGTGAGGTTACAATTACGTAATCAGTGCATCTGAGTTTCGTTTTACGGACGGTGTTAAAATTATTAATTATTAGAGCGGTGTCGCTGAAGTTATTCAAATTTGGCAAGGAATCTTGCGCAACCAAAATTCTCCCTCGCTGAAAATGGTTTCATACACATTCTACTTTTAGTTCTTTGTGCTAATGGATCATGATTGTTGTTGTGAGAGACTTAATCGAAAAGCGCTAAAAATATGGGGGCTTTGTTCCTAATGGAAAGAAATATGAGCTGTTTTGGCGGGGAGAGGTTTATCCAAATCACCCGTCACTCGTTGATACGCCCAGTTGTTAGGTACAAAATTTCCTGGTTTTTCGTCTTTCAAACAATTTCGGACAGTTCTATCTGATTTTTGAACGCTTTCGTTCGATTTCGTGCGCTTCCATCCGGCTTCGGACGCCTTCGTCCGATTTCATACGCCTTCGTCCGATTTCATACGCCTTAATCAGTCCGACAGTGGACGCGATAGTCCGATATCGGATCTCTTCGTCAGTTTCCGGAAGATTCCGTTTAATTAAGGAAGGCTTCGTCCAAGTTTGGACAGTTACGTCCGGTTTTGAACATGTAAGTCTTAAGTAGAATGATTCTGCTTGATTTCGGAAAGATCGGTCGCTCCGTGCGATTTTAAATAGCTACGTCCGACATTTGAAGCTATCCTCGAATTTTGGACGGTTTTGTACGGTTTGCGACTGTTCTGTCCGATTTAAGAGGATTTTGCCTGTTTTTGGACGCTTCCTTCACAATACAATGTTTTCACCCGAAACATTCGGATAAGATTAGTCTTCACGATGACGTAGAAAATAGACTTCTCCGTGAGAGACTGTCTATAAATAACTCTACTTGAATCAATATGTTCCAAACCCCGGTCCAGGAACCTCCCATGTCCTTTCCTGATTGAACTGTTGATATAGTGAATTAAGTCAGTTGATTAAAACCAAAAAGGAAAAAGAGATGATTGAAATCTCTATATTATTTGACAGCTTAAGGCGCTCTAGATAAATGATAAACCTACGAATTTTCTGGACAAGGTTCTTAAAATAACTTTATTTCTCTTAGTGTTATAAAATGTACAAATAATTCCTAGCACTCTTGAAAACACTGTATTCAATTACAAATATTCATCATATCAGTCTCACAATTTTCTTACGGTGGGTTGTAATCGAATGCATTTGACAACTATGGACTTGCATTTTGGTAAGAAAGGCTGGACATTGTTTGGTAGTTATATTTGAACCGCTTGTTGGAGCTTCGAGTTGGAGAAACAAACAAGCTATTTCGAATTATCAATTGTCTCTCCTCCATTCGCATTCAAAACGTGTCCGGCAAGAAAAATGCTAATGGAGAAAGTGTTGATGGGAAGCCTTTTCTCAACCAATCATAACTCGCCTATCAACGCGGTCCGCGTTAGCTGCTCGCAATTTCGGGACGACTGAGAAAAATAATGACGGTAGAGCATGCGCCGTTTGGACGATAATCATGTGCATTCTCGACTCCAGAGCCCACTGTACTGCGGATATCAAAAGGTCATGCGCAACCATGACCTGACGCTCTATTGTCGAGACTGGTAGGCTGCGAAAGTGAGGTAACAATTAAACTTTCGGACTAATTTTTCTATAGTAAATTTCCATATACTTACAAAAACAAATTGCAAATAATAATCCTAAATTTTTGCGATCAGAGCAAAACACGATAAACCAACATGAGAAGCGATCACAAAGTTTTCTTTTAAGTCTGTCGAGACTGCGGTAAGTTCGTTTGAGTCGGCCGCCTTTCATTGGAAATAATATTCGAATGGAATTGTCCTCAATACTCTTGACGTGAATTTCTGATACGTATGGTTATACCATTGATAAAATCTTATATACACTATAAAACTCAATAACATACTTAAAGAGTATATAAGCATCAAACAAATAAGTTGATCCATTAGTTGACGGATAGTTACAAAAGTATATAAAAGTAGATCCAATGTGAAATATGTATGAGGAATTTTTGTGTACTTCCAATTTTTTCTGCCTTATGAACGGCTTGGTTCCCTCCTTGGACTGTCTGAAATTTATTTGACTCATGCTAGCTTGCATCTGAGAAGTCCTAAAAACGGAATAAAAAGAAACTTTGAACGACGAGTTGATAAGCTAAGTTTCATATTCTGAAAAAAAAAAAAAAAAAACTAGCAGAGCCGAACTCCATTCTTGCACATATGTAAGTTAGTTGGCACTCTATTTTTGGATCCCTTCATGCATTCAAGTTCAAATTACGCCTGACTTTTGCACTTCCTTCTCTCCTCCTACTTCTTTGATAGCAAGTTACTTTTCGCGCTTCTAATTGTCAGTACCAAAAGAAATGTATAGAGAACAGCAAGGAGAATATGCATACTGATACTTAGGGTGTAAAGGATCAAAGCTCAAGATTCAAAAGCAGGCAGAAGTGTTCTTGAAAAAGTGTTCTTCATCGAAGGAACGTCCTACAAACGGATGAAACTTACATCGTCAACGCTTCGCCTACGAATGGGTGATATCAGCCGTCTGCCTGTATCACTGTGATCAGAGGCTAGCGGTGAAGACATGTCCTTGGGCTTTAGTCTCGCAAATTCTCCACTGCTGAACGATGTATGCAACCTTTGCTCCGTGTTGCGAGAGTAAAGGCCTGTCAGTGACTCTCCTGAAAAAGACAAAAAGCGATGAACCGCTATCCAACTCGCACTCTGCATGTTTCCCTTCGAATAAATTTTCCGTTTAGAATGTATTTTTTAAAATTGTTTCTTTATTTACTTAAGGCGCAAACAAAACTGCTTTTGTTGTTTTCTTTAGTCAAACTCCGCATGCGAATCAAGAGTCAAATCCGTGTTTCTCGTTTTCGCACCGACGAAACAGCAATTAACTAATCATGGACCCCGTGGATTTCTTCTGTATTACGTTTCTTTGACGCCGTTTTACAGAACTATCCCAAAACATGTTCCCAGCAGAAATTTCAGTCACTTGAACCGAAAAAAAATTGTTCCGCAAAATATGGTTATGCTCTTGTAAACGATAAAGAAATACTTACTGGACGCTGACCCGGTAATATCTCGTTCTTTTCGGCTCGTTTCTTGTAGTAACCTTTCCCTACACAGAGAACGGAAAACCTAAATTAAAGGCCAGTTATTTTTAAATTAAAGCGGGTTTGTGTACCTTACTCGAGCGTTTCCTATCACACCCTAACGGTGCGAATGTTGACTCAAGACGTATAATTCTTTAGAACCAGATAATAAAGTAGGAAATAACTCTCGAAACACAAGAGGAGTGAGTTGCGGACCGAACTATATTCTTTGCATTCTGCATGGCAAAGATTTCCCAGACAACTCTATCAAAGATTCGATGCAATAACCCACAAACTGAATAAATCACCTTTCAAATTTCTCGTTGGCTAGTTTCTTTTTCAACTTGGCCACTTCGTCTTCAAGTCTCTCAGAAGCTTTACGTAAAGTGTTGACCTCTTGACGTTGATATGATCTAAAGAGGAAAGGAAATTAAATACCATGGTCTGATATCATTTCCAAGGTTTATCATAGGCGCCTAAGAGACGCTCCAGTCATGAAATATTGATAGTAAATGAAGTTTAAAGTAAATGATACTTAAAAAAAAATAAGTTCAAAACAAATCAATAAAAAAAAGAAAAAATACAGTTGTTGCAGCGAGTAAACGTTATTACAGGTATGGGGCTTCGCTGCGCGTGCGCTCCGCTATTATATTCCAGAAGTTTTGTACCAGACAACTGAACAGAACCGATATCAAACAGAAACCAATTTCATTCGTTGATATTTCGCTCTGAGTGACTGACTCTTCGAATCCAAATTAAAGCATATTGGCTAAAAGGTGAAGTTCGTTTTTCATAGCCTAAGGCTCCCTACCCATCTTAGTTCTCACCTATCTTCGTCTGTTTTTGCTAGTTTGTCCTTCAATCTATCCACTTCTTCCAAAGTTGTTTCTAAAGACTTCTTTCCCACAAACTCCTGTCAAAACAAAAACCGATCTCTCAGCCTCTGTTGTTAGCATGAAATGCTATTGCTCAGACCACCGTCATCGTCATGGAAGACAAGGAAGTGCAAATAGATGAGGAGCGTCTTTCTATCCCTCATTCCTCCTTTCCTGATGCCCATTCCCACGCGGTATAAACTTCTTGTTCTATGCAACCTTCCCTGCTTTAGAAAATCCACGAAGGCGGCCGAACTTTCAACGAGGTAATCGTAAAGTGCACTCTGGTCAAGAAAACCCCTGCATTGCAGGCAACTTGGAACCGAAAATACCTGGAAGAACTCAGAGTTCTAACCAAGAAGTTTTAATAAAGTACCTTTTCTCTTTGCTTTGCTAACACTCCTTCTAAACTTCTAACAGCCTCTTTCTCTGAAAACACCTAAACAGAGAACAAAAGATTCATCATGAAATACTATGATGGCGCCTAAT